GCGCTTCCCATTCAAGTGGACTATGACGCCTACGATGCCCAGGTTTTCCATCTGCCCGGCCCCTCCAGAGTCCCACGTTACACCACCTTTAGGTAAGCAAGCCTGTGGCCAAGCTTAGGGGATTGCACTGGGGAAGAGAGAGGCAGAGCTTTATATTTGGGTACAAGGAATTAAAAACACTGTGTAAGATAGGAGAGTCATAGATCTGGGGAACAGTAATGAGGAAGATGCCTTAATGGATAACAGAGACTTGCCGTGTTCCACCCTTGCTGAACAGCTCTCCCAACAAAAACATCTTGTCTGCTCACAGCCTCAGCCCTCTCCCAGCCCCAGCTGGCCTACTGGCTGCAGTTTCCAGGCAGAATTGCAGGACAGATGTTGATCAACAGGATGTATCTGGGAAGGCAGTTTGCAGTGCGTAGGGTGGAAGAACAGAGGGTGGGTTTATCTACACTAGAGATGATTAAGGGAGGCAGACTCTGACCTTCAAGTACCACGAGGAGGAAGAGACTCTTCTAAATTCTAGGAGAAAAATCCTGACAGTAAGAGCAGTTCAGTCTGGAACAGAGTTCCTTGAGAGCTGGTAGGCTGTCCCTCACTGGAGATAATTTAAGCAAAGGATGGAACTGGGGGATTTGGTAACAGCATCCGGCATTGGGAGGGGAGCCGGAGATGATCTCTGAGGTTGAATCCATGTTGCGTTTACTGTGCAGTGCCATCTCCTTGATCCATGGTACTTGTGGGTTCCCCAGCAGGTCTGTGCGGGAGAGAGAGAGTCGGCCTTGGAAGACCTCCAGCTCCTACGATGCCTCCTCCAGCCCCTCCCTGCAGAGTCGCCCCCCGCCCCCTGAAGAGGTTCGGAGCCAGGCTTCAGATGACAGCTCTCTGGGGAAGATCTCGGACATCCTTATGATCCCACGGCCCCACCTGCACCTGCAGTACGAAGTCAGCAGCTCTCTGGGCTACACCAGCGGCCGAGGTCAGCACAGGGCTTGGGACATCAGAGCCGGCTCCTTCCTGGGAGCTGGTGTTTGGTGCTTGGTCAGCCTTTCAGAGTTACTAGCTTTTTTAAAAAAAAACATTCAGAGTCCCGAGAGTCCACTTTCACAGTGCAAATTATAACTCACTCACAAGCCAGATAAAATACCCAGCAACAATCATGGGTTCCTTCCCAGAGGACACTGGTTTACCTTTTCCTTTCATTTCCTTTTGGGCTGGTTTCATTTCCCCAGCCCAGAATTTAAAACTAGACAGAATTCCAGTCCTCCTAGAACTCTTCTTGGGCGTCACCTTCACTGTCTTATCCTAGAAATGTCACTCTGTTTGAGACCCAGTGATTGGTTTGACACGGCGCGCTGGACGTGGGTTGGAGCATTGTGGAAACTCAACCTTTGTCGTACAAGCTGCATGAACCAACAAGTAATGTTATTCTAGGGTTAATTGAGAAGATCTTAGGTGAGGAGAGCAGTGGTGCTCTGTTAAGCCAAGGTTAGGATTGAGCCTGTTGTGGGGGGTCCTTGGTGCTCTCTGAACTTGGTTGTTTTCTTGCAGACGTTTCATTACCAAACTAGATAACATCATCAGTGCTGTCCATGAACCTGTTCCATGGCACGACCACTGAGAGCACTTCATTCTTCTGGGAAGCAGCTCCTTCCTCTCATTGTCTTGATCCATGTCCCCCTCCTCTTCCTCTTCCTCCTCCCTCTGGCCTTTGCTGCCTCCTCTTCCTCTGGATTGTCTCTTGCTCTTTGGCACTTGGGAAGCCATGATCTCCTCCTGGGGTTCTCCGCTCAGGCCTTCGGTGGCTTCCTATGCACTGTCTCCCCAGGGTTTTCAACTCTTGCTCCACCTGCTCAGCCAGGGGAAATATCTGGCCAGATTGTCCTTTTCAGTAGTGTTTGACATTCTTCCCCTGAGGTTTCACTGCTAAAGAAGGACTTTGGATGGAGAGATGGGGGTTCTGGTTTGACTAGGGCTGCGTATCCCCGAATAACTTATTTCTGCTGTAAAAAATGTAGAATGATTCTGTGGGTTAAACACTTAAGGGTCATTAACAATGTAGAAACATGCACAGGCTGTTCCAAGCTATGTTGGATCCCCCCAAACTGCTTACAGCTTGATTTTGAAATTGCAACAGCCACTGTCAGACCTGCCACAACTTGAACCTCTAAATAGAAATGATCCTTGGCTCCATTTGTTGAGAAAGGCATAGCTTATTAGAGATCAAGTGCATTGCAGTATTGCAAAATCAGAACCGAAAACTGTGGGTCAAAATCCTACTTTTCCCTCCCTTAACTGTCTCTCGTTGTCCATGCCAGTGTAACTACTCTGGTTGAGGCAAGATGTTTCCCTAACAGTCAGCCCAAGCGCATTTTGGTGTGCAGCTCCCTCCTTCTTCCAGCTGGGTGACCTTGAGGCAGCTCCTGGAGGAGATACAGCACTACTTTCATTTCCCCCCAATCCTTTCGCCCTTCATTCTCCCTCCCCACAGTTCATGACAGTCTAATTACCACCTGGTAGTAAAGAGAGCACAAAAGAGCATAAGGTGGCAGCTGACAGCCACACCTCCATCACCAGCCCCATGCAGTCACATGATTGCATTTTGGGCTCTTTGCAGCCAGCTCACCTTTATGGCTGTTTGCAATGACCTGCGATCACATGACTATGATTTCCAATGCTTTTTTCCAGGGTTCTGGCGTTTCCAGTAGCAAACGCCCATTGGATGATATGGATTTGCTTAATGACCACTGCATTCGCTTTACAACTACCACATTCATTTAACGACCGTGACAAAAAAGATAAAATTGGGTCTGGTCAAATGGTGATCTGCTTAATGACCATAGTGACTTACAACCAGGATTCTGGGCTTGATTACTGTCCTAAATTGAGGACTACCTACATGCTTAATCCTAGAAACACTGCGCTGAGTTGGCCTAGTCTAGGTCCCTGCTCTGTGCAGAATTTAAAATGCAATGTGTACCCTAGCCTCCCTGATTAGAATGGAATAGAAATGGAACTGGAAATGGAATAGGAATGGATTGTAATGGAATGGATTGGAAATGGAATGGATTAGATATAGAAATGGAAATAGAATTGGAAATGAAAATGGAATAGGAATGGAATGGATTGGAATGGAATAGAAATGGAAATGGAACGGGATGGAACAGATCAGAATACTTTATTTGGCCAACTGTGATTAGACACACATGGAATTTGTCCCTGGTATAGAAGCTCTCAGTGTACATACAAACAACAGAGTGATAAAGCATAAGATACAAACACAGAGGGGCATTTTTCATTTTTCACCATGAACTACGTGGAAACGTAGTAACAATTTACAAGCAAAAAGTAGGAAGAGTCTGCAGAGATGGGTTCCTGGAAACCTTTCCGGCTGCTGAAAAAGAGCCCTGCTCTGGGTCGCGTGAAGCCCCACCCCCTTGTTTTGATCTGGTCTTCCTTCTGCCGGCTTCTCCCCCCCAACACACCAAATTTGGTCCAGTTTGGGGAGAGCTTTTCTGTTGCAGGAGAGACTGGCAGAGTCCCGAGTTTCTCTGGGGATCTTTTTCCCCTACATTCCATCCGGCTGGAAAGAATGAAGAGGGCCTCTCTGGTTCTGCAATTCTATGATATTTGGGAAAGCCATATACAGAAACTATGCATGCCTGGGAAAATGGAAACTAAGAGGAAGAAGTTGTGTTGGATAGGTGTGTTCAGAGCCTTGAGTTATTTGTAAAAATAATAAAATAATTAAAAAATAAAAACCGACTCACCCTGAACTCACTCAGTGTGTCTGGAAGTGAGATAACTCTGTATCCTTGCACTAAGCAGTAGATACCGTGCTGTGGTAACAGTTCTCTGCCTGTGAATTAAGTTTCTAGTCCCAAATGCTGGTCTTTTTTTGTTTTTGTTTTAAATGTTCTCATTGCTCACCCAGCAAACATATTTGGAAGTCTGAATGAGAAAATGCAACTAGCAACTCTCCCAATCCAACAATATGGGGTGGAGGCCTTTTGGGAATCCTTGGCACATCCTCTTTAGCCCTCACATGCTGACTGGAATGTCCTATTTTATGCCTTGGAAGAGTTTCTGGCAGTGTGACCTTGCTTGAAAGCAGTGCCAGATCTTTGTGAGCTCCGGGAATTTCTTACTGAAGATGAGTTTTTACCCCTCACAGATCACCTTGAGAACATACTGGAGTCTCAGCAGCGAGACTTGAGCGCCCCTGGAAGATTTCACGTGGGGAGTGCCGAGTCCCGGCTGCACATCCGTTCTGCCGGGGGATACACACCACAGCGGGCGCTGATCAACCCCTTCGCCCCCTCCCGGATGCCCATGAAACTCACATCCAACAGGAGGCGCTGGATGCACACGTTCCCCGTGGGTAAGGAACTTCTCTTTGGCCTTTGTTGGTGTCGTAGTTGTGTAATATGCAACTTTTTCTTTTGGGGAGCTTCTGTCAGCTATAGAGGTTATGTCACCAAGTTTTGCTTGGTTTGCTTTTTGTTCTGTTGTTGTCATATTCTTTGTGAGCCATAGCCCAGTCAGGAAAGATTGATTGATTGATTGATTGATTATGTGTCCATCAAGCTGTTGTCCGCTGTTAGCAAGCACATAGATAGGTTTTCTCCATGATGCTTTTCCCCCAATCTGTTCTTTTAGATCTTCCAAAGGTGCCCCCATCACCCCTATAACTGAGTCCACCCATCTTGTTGCTTGTCATCTTCTTCATCTCTTTCCTTCCATTTTTCCCAGCTTTGGAGCCTTTTCCAGAGAGCTGGATCTTGCAAGCATGTCGTCTGAAGTAGAATATTTGAGCCTGGTTGTCATGGTTCCGACAGATGAAACCCTTCAAAAGAATGAGGCATTGTTTTCCTTAAAGAATCTTTTATTCGGGAAACAAAGTATCGGCACTACATAGTTGAACCCAAAACTAAATTCCCCTGCCCTGGATACAAAGTTTCAAAGTACAATTCCCACCCTCAATGACCTGTCATAAGCACATTCCCCAATTAGCTCATAGCTCAGGCTTTCTCCCCAGCTCTCCAGCCCACCAAAACGTTATCAGCTCCGGACCCAGTTGGTCCTTGAGTTCCCACGGCAGAGTTATTGTTATGGCTAACTAAGCTCACATCCCAATTCCCCCTCCCTGCACCAACTAATTCTAGAAGCAGGAAAAAGTAAAAAGAGAAAATGGCTGCTTTTTCATCTGTTGTCAAAGCAAGAACATCTGATGTTAGCAGCGTTGACACTGGTCTTTTGTGCCTTGAGTCAAAACTCTGGGTTGATTTGTTTAATGATCCATCAGTTGTTTCCTTGGCTGGCCATATTCTTCCCAGGAATCTTCTCCAAAACCAAAGTTGAAAAGTGTCAATTCTCTTCCTATCCTGCTTCTTCAAAGTCCAACTTTACTTCTGTAGAGTGTCACTGGGAATGCCATGGCTTAGTCCACTTCTGATCTTTGTAGATATAGAGACATCGTAGCATTTAAATATCTTTTCCAAGACCTTTTCCAAGACATACTGAGTACGCTTCTGCAGTTTGACTGCTTCTTGGTTTAGTGTTGAAGGTTTATCTTCAGCATCTTCGTTGTCAATTCTAAGGTTGATTGTTCTACCTGTTGTCATTAGTTTGGTCTTTATATTTAATTTCAGTCCCATTTTTTCACTGTGCTGTTTTGGCCCAAGATGGCCACCGTATGACAGCTCTTTTAGTGAGCTCCTCATCCTTTTGTTTTACTTACTTTTATATGGTTGTAAAACAGTTCATTTTCATTTAATTTTTATCTAATATTAACTATTAACTAGGAAAGTTAGATTTTTTTTACTAGGAGTTGTAGTTTTATGATTATAAATTTAGGATTAGATAGGATTAGGTTTTAGACTACGACAGTGGTGGCGAACCTATGGCACGGGTGCCAGAGGTGGCACTTAGAGCCCTCTCTGTGGACACACGCACCGTCGCCCCAGTCCTAGGCCTTCAGCTGGGTTTTATAAAACCTTTTCGCTTTAGGCCTCCGCCGCCATGGGCAAACAAAAAAAAAAAAGGTTCAATCAATCAGTCAATTTTAACTTCTAGCGGGGGAAAAAAAGATCTCGCAAAGTTGGAATTGATTGAACTTTTTAGTCCCACCCAGTCTGCCGTTACCCAATGGGCCACACCCACCCGGCACCCAACGATGCAAAAGTGGGTTTTGGGTTGCAGTTTGGGCACTCGCCATCGCTGGACTACGAGTTCCGGAATTTGTCAGCTTCAAGCATTTGTCAATGAAGTGGAAGTATGTTTTAAAATCCTTTAAACCATCCAAGGATGCCAAAACAAAAGGTAACAGTAAAAGCAAAAACGGGACTCTAAAAGAAAGTCTAAAAGGAGGCATAAATTGGATATACAACATGGTGGCAACAACACCCAAACAACCAAAGATAAAGGACCTATTTCAGATAATGGACACTGCAAGTAAGTCTCCTTCCTTTTTCTCTTCACCCCTTGTAACTACTTTAAATAAGCCCTGCTCCTTACTGGATTGGGAGGAGGATGACTGTCTTTCTGTGGAAACAGAGGCTCCATTAGGAGACGGAGGGGAGAATAAGGATAATAGTAAGAGCAATTTTAAGGGAGACCTGAACTTGGTTGCCAAGAATTGTCTCTTGACAGCACAAAGAGTTATTGCTATATTTGATCAGCTCTTGGAAGCAAATAAAAAGATCGAAGAATTAAAGTCTCTAATGGGAAATTATATCTCTAAATTGGATAAGGAAGTAAATAGCAAAACCCATGCTCCAAAGCTTACTTTGAATTCACGGACAGCTTACATGGACCGGGGGGGGGGGGGCTCAAGATGGAGAAGACACGGAGGAGAGGCTGGTTCTACAGAGACATAGGATACTACTCCCTTGAACAGGGGCAGGTGGCATAACAGACAAATAATACTGAATTCTCTTTCCCAACTTTTACACTGCAGGGTATATTCTAATGAACTAACAGAGATTTCATGGCTCCCCAGCAGACATGGTTGTAAAAAAATATTGTTAACCTTTGGGCAGATTGTTCTTCCATCAATGTTGCTTAGGCGTGAAAGCTTTCTAAGGAAATACTGTATTTGGCCAATACGGGTATTTTATACCACCCAAATTCAGCCTCTGCTAAAGTCTGGGCAGAGAGCCAAGTTGGAGAGGGAGGTTGACTCCAACCTTGAAAATTCCAAAACATTAACGGCCAAGCAAAGAATCCCTCTATTAACAAGGATAGAATAAGATAAGGATGATAAAAAAGAGAACTCAGATCTACTTAATGGACAGTTACAGTTCATGGATGATGAAGAAGAATTAATCCATCAATTTGCCACCCTTTGCCCAGGAGGTCAACAGTTGATTTTAAAGAAAATTGGAATAATTAGTTCAATGTTGAAATTGGCAACTAATGCAACAGAAAATCTGAACACTCTGCTCTCCACTAGCTGCTCTTCTGTGGAACTTGATTTATCAAGCTCGGTTTCTGAAAGCACCAAATCCCCAACAAATAAAAAGAGAAGGTGTGTCAGTCCAAAGCAAAAAGTAAAGGAAAAGTTATTAACTAATCAACTGTGCTGTTTGACATTTAGAACTAGGCTTGCAAAACCTCTGCATTCTGGGCTCTCAAGAGCAGTATCAACACAGCACAGTTTATTGGTGTTTCTTACTCCACATTTTGAGTCCTTGGGCTTTAAAAAAGATCTTTCTGTGCCTGAATATGCTGTATGCCAGAATGCTGTGTGTGTGTGTGTGATAGTTGGTGGGATGTGAACAGCAGTCTATTGGCTTGCAAAGTAGTGTCTAGATCAGTGGTTCTCAACCTGTGGGTCGGGACCCCATTTGGGGTCGATCGACCATTTCACGGGGGTCGCCAAGCAAGGCTGTCCGCCATTTTTTCGTCCGCCATTTTTTCCCCCTTTTCCGGTGGGTGCCTTACCTCCCTTGGGCTGGGCCAGCTGGTGGTCGGCCTGCTCCGTCTCTGCCGCTTGCCAGCTACGCCTCGGCCAGCGCAGGGGGCAGAACCATGCATGCACGGCGCTCCCGGGCAAGGAAAGTCCTCGACTTACGACCGGTTGGGTAGTCCTCGACTTACGACCAGTTTAGTCCTCGACTTACGACCGGTTTAGTCCTCGACTTACAACCGGTTGGGGTCACGGCATTAAAAAGGTTGAGAACCACTGGTCTAGATTATATATCTCGGTTTACATAGAACAGTGTTAGCAATCTTGGAATAAAACTGGACTTTTATTGTGTTTCTGTTACATTAGCCAAAATAAGCCGTAGTAGACTCTGATTAAGGCTGGTAATCCAATCTCACTTTCTCAATCTTATTAAAAAGTACTATGTGAAACCCTTGATTGACTACTTACTGGGTGGTGGAAGTCACTATCCAGAGGCCTACTTGACAAATATGTCATATGGAAATTTGCAATTTTGAATGTAAGATGATTTTGACAGAAGGCGGCCCCAAGGGGGAGGGCCTTCTCTGTGGGAGCTCCCACCCTCTGGAATGAACTGCCCCCAGAGATCAGGGTCATCCCTGATCTCCCTTCCTTCCGCCGCGCCCTTAAGACTTGGTTATTCTAGCTTGCAGGACTGGCCTAGGGTAATTTTTAGAGGGGTTTTAATTATATTTTAATGGGACAATGTTTAAATATCTCTTTTAATTAATTTTAAATTTGCAATTGTTATTTATGTATTTTAATTGATTGTCAGCCGCCCTGAGTCCGCGAGGAGAAGGGCGGGATATAAATCCAAATATAAATAAAATAAAATAAATAAAATAAGTCATTCAGGCCAGTTCTCCAATGAGCATCATTTTGTCAGGATTGTCTGGTCAGTAACCAGTTTGTTTGGGTTCTGTGAGCTCATGTTTATCTCATTAGGGGTCATGTCTAGCCATTTTGTCTTCTGTTTGTCTCTTTAATTACCTGTAGTTTTTCCAAGCTCTGACTCTTGCCTTGTATTATGTCTCCAAAATATTTAATCATTATTAGTGGTGTTTCCAGTGAGCACGACTTTCATCTGCTATTGAATAATTTGTCCTTCTGCTCCATGGTCTTCTCAACAATCACAATCCAGAGGCATCATTTTTTTCTTTGTTCAGCTTTTCTTATATCTGATTTCCACAGACACACATTACAACTGGGGAAACGAGGCTGGAATGTCTCTGCACTTTGTGTAGTTCTGTTATAAAGTTTTGTCCCAGGTAGCAGATGTCTGCTTGAGTTGAACAGAATAGGAAGGCACCACATAAACACAACTCACAGAACAGCCCAAAGCAGGTATTCCAGCAGAGAAATTCCCTGAGAGTGGGCTCCAGCATGATTCCAAAAGCTCGGGAGAGTATATCTCTGGTTCCGATGACTGACCCAAATTCAATTTTGCTTCATTATCCTGGGACACACATATTTGTCTTTATTCGTGAATAGAACAACTTTATTTGGCCAAGTGAGATTAGACACACAAGGAATTTGTCTCCTGTGCAGAAGCTGTCAAAGCTTCGTGTATGTAGTCACCATCCGTCAGTCCAGAAGGCTTTAGGTGTGGCCAACCAATGCAGAGTAAAGAAGAAACAAGATGTCCCTTGAAACAGCATCAATAGTGAAACAACATAATACCTAAATCTATAAAAGCCATAAACATTAAAAAAAACCTGGTAGCAAAGACAAGCTTCCACATGCAATCCTCTGTTAAATCCTCTTCTACACTCCACCCAATCCCAGCACTTGGGGGAAATAGGTTTTTGCCTGGCACTGTGGATCTTCACTACACTCCAATTTTTTCTGGGTATAACAACTGGCTGACCAGTCTGTAGCTACCTGAGCCTCTATTCCCCCTTTTAGAAATGGGATTTATTCATTGGAATTTATGCGTGTATACACACACACAGAGAGAGAGAGAGAGAGAGAGAGAGAGAGAGACACGCACACAGACACACACACAAATGATGATCCCATACGTACCCAAAGAGTACTTCAGTCAACTTTGATTAGGGAGATTAACGAAACAGCCAAACTTGTGATTGGACAGGTCCTTCTGGAGAAGCCATCCAGATCCACCACCAGACCCGTCAGAACATGGCCGAAATGCAGGGCAGTGGGCAGCGGGACTGGACTCACTCCTCAGCTGAGCTGTTGGAACTTGCTTATCACGAGGCGGCTGGCAGGTAAGGGCATTTAGCGAGTGGACCCTGAACCCACTGGGCCCCCTGCCATAGCAAGACCCCTGCCCCACTCAGGAGAAACTTTTCCGAAACCGTTTACATTGATAAAATATTTATAGCTTGGAGTTGAACTGTGGGGTCCTTTGTACTCTTTGAGCTTGGTTGTTTGCTTATAGACATTTCATTATCCAACTAGGTAATAGCATCAGTGCCTTAATCCATGCACTGGTGACATTACCTAGTTCAGGGGTAGGCAACCTTGGCTCTTTTATGACTCGTGGACTTCAACTCCCAGAATTCCTGAGCCAGCCATGCTGAGGGGAGAGGGAGAGGTTTCCAAGCTGAGCCATGCTGGCTCAGGAATTCTGGGAGTTGAAGTCCACGAGTCATAAAAGAGCCAAGGTTGTCTACCTCTGACCTAGTTGGATCATGAAACATCTGAAAGAAAACACCAAGTTCAGAGAGCACCAAGGAACCCACAAAAACATCTGTTCCTGTCATTTGATTTCCACTTTAGCTTGGTGCTTCCATTGCTCAGTCTTTTTACATATGCCCAATGAGGTTATTTTATTTTATTCTGATTTTGATTTTCTTTTCTGGGCATGGAGAACCCTCATGATAACAACTGAATAGGAGATGCACGGAAAGGATGTTTATCATCCGTTGTAAAAGCATCATGCAGATGGCCCACATTGCCTCCTCTCCTTCACCTGACTTGCAAGATGCTTGCTGAGGACCTGGGGAGCTGCTGTTGCTCTTGCTTTTGCTGAGGTCCCTCAGGGAAGGGATGGAGTTGGGGGTCTGGCCCCAAGCAGAGATGCCTTGGCCTAAGGTGGGTCCCTTCTTCTCTCCAGGCATGGCATTTCTAGACAGTCGGAGGACAGCACTTCCTGCTTGAGCTTCAGAGACACGAAAGATTATCCAAACCAGCTGATGGGCAGCCAAGATCCAGGTAATCGAGCCAATTGTTTCTGGCTGAGATGGGGTGTTGCTTCGCCAGCTGGCCTGACTCTCATCCACAACACACACACACACACACACACACACACACACACACACGGCTTTGGATTCTTTAACATAGCTGGGAGGAGTTGATCCCATGAACCATTTTTAGCCATTTTTCTGCTGCTACGATTTCATGGGCACTCAAAACTGAATGGCTGCTGGAGTTGGCAACTTGTATAACAGAATAACAGAATTGGAAAGGACCCCTGAGGTCTTCTAGTCCAACCCCCTGCTCAAGCAGGAGACCCTGCCATTTCAGTCAAATGACTGTCCAGTCTCCTCTTCTTCTTCTTTTTAAAATATATTTTATTAATTTTTTACAATAACAATCTTTAATGCTTCGTGAACAGTGTGTTGTCTGGGTTCATATACTCAAAACAATCAATAACAATTCCTCCAATTAATATGTTAGTTGGTAATATATTTCTTGATCCTCTCTTCTTCCAATAATAATCTCCTCTTGTCTGCATTAAACAAATATAATTCTTAATATTTTCAGTACATATCACGTTGAATAAAAACATTTTTTTTGTATTTATGTGTATGATAACATCAACATATAATATATTTTCTAATCAGCTTATGTTTCCATTATATTTATAAAAGTCATCTTATTAAGTCATTATATGTCCTGTTTTTAAACTTTTTATTAAAGCTTAGTTTCCAAGTCAGTAAGTTTAGCTTGCCAGGTTGTATTTTTTGAGTGTTGTTGGGGACAAAAAAGACAAGTCGAGTAAAATATCATTTTTCTGTCTCCCACGTGATGATTTTTCTGACAGTTCTTTAATTCATTTTATTAGTTTTTCTTTTTTATCCTCCAATTTGTTTTGAAATCCTGGAGGATAAAATAATCTTTTTGTCTTCTTTATTACAATGAGGTTTTGCAGATTTTTTTTTTGTATTAAATTGTAGTTTTCTTCATTTGTGGCTTTTCTATTTAAGCCACTTACATTTAATTTACCGTATTTTCCGGCGTATAAGACGACTTTCTAAACCCTGAAAATCTTCTCAAAAGTCGGGGGTCGTCTTATACGCCCAGTCGTCTTATATGCTGGAAAATACGGTACTTTGAAATTGTTGGCTTAAGCTCGTGGGGTTCCAATTGAGAGCGCGCCACTCTCCTCGGTTCACTGCATTGGCAAATGCAATCGCGGCCCATGAAGACTCGTCTTAAATGCGCCACGAGAGACTCCACCGGGACCGCTAAAGGAAGTACTTCTGGGGCGTTAATACAGCACGAACAAGCGGTAAAGTGACGCCGCTCCTCTCCTAGGGCCTCCTTCCCCTCCAGCTAACTTCGCCAGATACCGCGGAGAGAAGCGCCCTCCCTCTGGCTCTCCCCGCGAGCCCTAGGGCGGACCAAAGCAGCGATAAAAGTTAGGCAGAGAAGGACCGCCCAGCCGCGGCCGCCTTACCCGAACTAATCGCGGAAGCGGCTGCTGACCTCCGAATTCTTGACTTACAATGTGGCAGGGCAGGGCAGGTATAGAAACCGCAGCAACAGCGCGGCCTACCTGGGTCCCTTCCGCCGCAGAGGAGAGTCGCCAGAGAGGAAAGCGAGGAAGAAAAGGAATCGGCATTTTCCTCTGAGCTTCAAACTTGCCTTCTGGTGAACCTCGCCTCAGTTGATAGAATGGGATGCCCACTTGGAAGAGGAAAACCATTTTCAGGAGAGGGGTCAACCGAGGAAGGATGGTAGCGATGGCTCCCCCTCCTACAGTCAAATTGGGTGGACGACCTTTCCAATAATGTTAAAAGGGATTTTTTTCCGGGTGATTTTTGAGAAGGAATAGGAAAAAAACAGTTTCACAAGATCAGCCTCCCTTCCTCTGTCCTAATGCAACTTTCTAGTGGCACCTGCCTGCTGTGACTGCCATGACACAGTCTATGACTGGGTTTGCAGATCTTTGTTTTTGTTGTTATTTATTTATTTTATTTATTTATTTTTATTTATTTATATTTGGATTTATATCCCGCCCTTCTCCTCGCGGACTCAGGGCGGCTGACAATCAGTTAAAATACATAAATAACAATACAAATTTAAAATTAGTTAAAAGAAATATTTAAATTTGTCCAATTAAAATGTAATTAAAACCCCTCTAAAAATTACCCTAGGCCAGTCCTGCAAGCTGGAATAACCAAGT